GGCTGACTTCAATCTTCAAGGTGTTCGACAAACTCGTACCCAGGCTCTCGATTTATCGGGCAAAAATGTATGCCTTTCTGGTCCCCCCTCGTCCAAGAACCTTCCTGAAGATGAGTGAACACTCTTGGACAAAAACAATACTTAGTGGGGGAGGTAGGAGAAAATTGTTTAATCCAGGTTTAATGAATAAATTAATTAGAATCGAGTGAGTGAGTGAGTGAGTGATCGAGCGCCATCCAACTGCCTCCTAAGCTCATGGATGTTACTCATCCACAAGCAAAAATAAAGGACTGTGCTTCCTATTAGGTTTTAGTGTGCACCTGTTCTGCACACCATACAATTCAAGGCATTATTACATGCCACGTACGTGCTGGGATTAAACTACACTGACACAATCAACTACTGACTAACAAGTGCATGACTAAAATGGTAAAATTGTGACCAAATCAAGCTAAATGAACCTGTACTGAAACTAGCTAGGGATCTCAGAATAGCAGAATATTGCCAACCACTTACTGTTGATGGCTTCCAACTGTAAACAGGTACAATGTACATGCAAAACATGCAAAACATGCAAAACAAGTGCAAGAGACTCATTTGTTTGACTTACTGTGGAAGTGACAAGTAAAAATGTAAAGGGCAGCAAAAAAATTATGAAGAAAGATAAATTAAAACAGCATTACTTGTTGAACTTTGAAAAACAGGTGGTTACCCCTACATTTTATGTTTTGAAATGATTAAGTGGCAAGCCTATTTAGCATGTGATTAGTTTCTGGTTGTGAGAAATTAAACTAAGGCTATTTAGACTGTATTTTGGCTAAACCAGAGGAGAGCTGTCAGGGACACTAAAAGCACTGTTGTGACAATTTGGTTTATTAAAAACATACCAGAAGTCGTTTTCATGTTAACTACCATTTACCATGTAGTTAAAGATCGTTATAAATGTGTTTGCCTTTCTTTATGTAAAGGCAACTTCTAAGGAAATCTGTGAATTATCTTTTCCTTCTTTTTCAGAAAAATGCTGACGTCAGCATTTTTGTTTGAGATTCAGGGGTAATTGTCTCGGAAAAATGCCTCATTACTACCAGTTTTCTTTGTGAATTCCAATAGCCCTTGCTAGGATCTTCTTTTTCCACTTGGTCCTAATATGGGCGAGAAAGACCTTTAAAGATGATTTCCAGTCCGTACTGCTCACTCTCAAGAATTTGTTTGAGTTTTGTTTTGATTCATGTACTGTAAGACGTCACAAAATTGTAACACTTTGCAACTACTCACTTACATGAAGTACATGTAAATTTAAAGTTTCATGTCAACCGCCATTATGGATGTGAAGTGTTATGCCTTGTTCTGTGTGAGATCACTTGATGAAACAACTTCTCAGCTGTAAAATCAAAGAAACTGTTGGAAAAAGAATTTTAAATGCCTCGAAGATAAGGTACATGTACTGTAAGCAGTTCATAACAAATTACATTGATTTGGAATCCATCAAGTGAGACTCACAAACACTGGGGTGCCGAGACTGAGGAATACCAAATTGGAAATCATCTAAAGTTAATAATTTTGTATCATAATACAAAATATGGAAATCCACCAGTTTTTACTTTCACTTCTTACATCAGGTCTGAAAAAGGAAAAAAAATGGTTTGGGAAAAGGATCAAACAAGTGGAAAGTGTAATTTTGTGTACAAAGATTTATTTTATGAACCTGAAGCTTGTTTGACACATGGTAATGTAAAAAAAAATGTAGATCTTACTTGTAGTGGTCATGCACTTACAGTAGCTATACAAGCCTTAACTTAGCTAGTTTACAGGCATGCCTCTGAAACAAAGGAAACAAATGTTTCAAATAAATGTAACATAGTTAAAAATCCCAATTGGCAGGAGGCAGACCAGTTGGCTTAATTTACAACGTGTGCCCAAGAATTTGAACTCGGGACTACCGAGAAACAAATTCTGTTAGTGGCAGGGTGGAGGCCTTGAACCCGGGACCTCAGAATTACAACGCCGGCACCATAAACCACTCAGCCACGCTGCTTCCTAAAATGGTATGATGGTATTGATCAGCATTAGGTGCTGTGAATAAATTGCATGTTTCACTAAAAGGATAGATGTTGTTTTTATCACTTGGATTATAATGTAGTAAAATTGCATCATTGGTTAACTGCAAGCTTCTCCTCTTTCAGATACAGGTGCTTTTAAAAAAGGCAAACCTAGTGACCGTGAACTAAATGATTTGACAGGACAGATTGGTAAAGTGTGGAAAAGACTGGGAATTCCCCTTGGCATTCCTCATGATGTATTGGATGATATAACTGCTAATGCAGAAGATAAACCACTTGAGATGTTACTTCGCTGGCGAAATACAACAACTTCGGCTACACCTTATCATGAACTCTACGATGCCTTGTGTCATCCAAGAGTTGGTCTTGATAACTTGGCCAAAGAATTTTGTCGTAAGGAAACTACGTGATTCATTTTCTTAGAGTACAACGTCTTGAACCAGGGCAGTCAGTAATTTGTGAAGTAGGCAGACCCTAATCCCAGCTACATTTTTCATTTCCCTGCCTACTTCAAAAATAGGTGACAGCCCTGAGTTAAGGAACACTACTTTGTGCCATATATTTAAGTGAAAACTATTGTATTGTGGAAAATGTATCAAGATTAAAAAAGAAAGTCTTGTAGATTGTAAGGAAACCCTTATAGATGATGCAAATCAAGGTGTTTGGTTACTGCTATGAAATCAGCCCCATAGGTACAGATTTAGCTAAGGAGGGGCCCTAAAGGTAACGTTATTTCCTCTAGGAGTTCTAGGAGCACCCTCTGTGAAATTGTGAAAATCTCAACAAGTTCACACAGGATTGCTATGCACTCTACAGCCTTAGAGACAAAATTTAATGTCAGTTTTAGGTACTTTGGGTGGCGCTTATCCAATGCAAAAACATGAAGGAACTTTACTAACCTACAGCTTGTAGGTTAATCTGTACCTTTTTATTACATGTAGACCGAGTGGCAAGTGATAGAAATTAAACATAAGAGGAAAAAACCTGACATAGAACTTGTGGATGGCCATGTCCTGCATTTTCAAGCCTCAAAATATTATAAATTAAAAGCTTCCATTGAGCTTTAGAAACAAAAAAATTTGGAGACAAAGTTTTGTATATGTTTCACGTTTGTGTGCATGTATTAGGGAACAATATTGCCACAAAAAACAAGAGCAGAGAAACTAAAACCTGTTTGGGGATAGAGCTCTCTTGTAAGTTGAACATTTGATCAATAAATAGTCATATTTTGTTGTGTTTGTTTTAATTAAATTAATCAAATAAACTTTCCAAAAAAGAGAACTTCACCAATACGAATTATTACTCTGATACGATATCTACTGGTTTTCTGAAGCTATCCATTGTCTAAAGAACCACTACAGTGATGTCGTGTTATTTCTATAAAGTGTACAGTGTAGTTCACTGTTGTGTATCATTTTTACCAGCACAGTCAAATTAATTCGACAATGTGTTTCCCTTGCAGACATACCAGCTGGGAAGAGAGAGTTGCCATGTTCAAGTAACCATCCAGATGCTAAACGACCCAGGTTTGCAGGTACATACTGTTATTAGCGATAATTGTAGTTGTATGGGGTGCTGAAGCCCACTGTCATGCTGTGATGCTGTTCTTCATGATGGAATTTAAGTTTAGCTTTGTGATGAAAGTCAAGTGGAATTTTCAGTCCTGACTGACACTTTCTGCATATAACTATTGTTATCGTTTGCTCCATTTCAAGAGGGTTTGTTTAAGAAGCCAGGCTGAAATCTCATCTCCTCTTCCCCCTGTCCATCCAGGCTGAAATTCTCCATGTTTTCACTCCTTAGTATCAGTTAAAAACTTATAAGCTCTTTAAACATGAAACTATCCCTTGCACCCTTGAAAGCAAGCTTTGAAATGATCTTTTTGTAACATTCCATATCGCAAAAGTCAACAGACAAAAATTAACCAATCAAACAGTTGGTTTAAAAGTTGCTGAGACTCATTAACCCATTGACTCTTAACCAACCAAACCAGCTTTGAGGGAGAATGGATTTTGTGTCACTCGAGACTCCATCAGCTTTCATATCATGATTGTGTACTGGGTAATTTCTTCATTATCTGTTTTTGTTCTACAGTTGTTTATTCGTCTTTAATGTCAAAAGAATTATATTATATTACAGTTTTACTGTATATATATTTTTTAGTTTAGCCTATAAAAAGCACAGGATTATTTTTACCACTGGTAAAGCAAAAACAAAGCTTGTGGCCTAGGAGTGTCATGGCCCTTGTGTACAAAATGGCATCCTTAATTGCTGGTGTGTTGATGAAATGCATTGTGGGCTATGGCACTATAAGGCCAAATGGTATATTCTTGTTTGTTTGTTTTTGTTATACCAGGTACTTTTGTTTTACGTTAAATTGAAACAATATAATTATATAAAAACAATATGAGATGAAAATATCTATTTTCAGGTTGAGAAAATCAATTGAGAAAAACAACAAGAATTAAACATAAGCATCACCCACTGCAATAAAGAAATACCTCCTCCTCTAACGTGCTCTGAATTTTTCCCTGCGAGAAAATCCATTACACAACAGTTTTACAATGTCTTAACTGTTTTTTCCATCTGTAAAAAAATGGCACTTCCTCTCTGTAATTAACATAGCTATGTTTTGTCAACAGCCAATTCTCTTGAGATAAGCATTGATTGTGAAACTGTCAAAGCAAAAGGACTGAATAGGACTTCAGATTCAACAAACTTGGCACAATGCAAGGAAGGAACTGAAGGAGCAGTGCCGACAGAGGATGACACTCGCTCAGCTGAGAAGTTTTTGCTTAGAATTGCACAGGATTACTATCACAGTGTGAAACCATCTGACAGAAAGGGATTTGACGACTTCCTTAAATATTTAACCAGAATGAGAGGTGTTCTAATCCAAGATGTTAAGTCTGGCAGTCTAGTAATCACAGTCAAGTGTGCGTCATTGCAGGTCCTTGAAGAACTCTGGGCTGACTATACATGTGGGCATCTGAATGAAGTGGTACAAAAATGTCTTGTAACAGAGGATATCCTTACTGATCTTGGCCTTGCCGAGTTGAAGCTGAAGACTACCATAAGAGAAGATGACTACGAGGAATGTAAACAATTCTTCCAGGAATTAGGTTGGTTCAAAAATATACGATTATCAAGTTAATTATCCTAATGTAGAGTTTAGATGGATGTCATCTAGTTGACTTTGATTGAAATGAGCAGTGCCTTGCCATGATGTACATTGTAACAAGCCACACATTGAAATGAACAAAGTTTCAAATACATATCATATGCACTTTACTGAGCTAAGTTAAATTATGGCAGGCAAAGGGCTGATAGGGTCCTACCATGTGCAATAAGGCACCTATCTAATTACAATTTTGTAGATAGCGAAACTAAATCACTGTAGTTAAGCAAATGTAACTGAAGGATGGTTCACTTATAGGTGTCAGAGGAGTTGACTCTTATCTCTAGACTCTAAACCTCGTACGCTGTTTCTGCAAGTCCACCCTCACAAGGTCGCATAAATACTCAAAGGTTTTGCGTGTCCCTCTAAAATGTTCTTTCCAATGAAAATTCAGCACTAGATTTATGTACAAACTGCGAAACTAGGTTTGTGGATGTGGCCCAACCCAAGTTCTTCTTCTTCCTGGCGCGTTTTGTTGATTCATTTGACTCAAAAACATCAGCATAATTCCTCATTGGTTTCTTCGTCTTATTCGAAAGTCCTCATCCACAACGAGAAAGTGATAAGCTTGGTGAAATGGCACTGCCTGCTGTCGTTGCTGAAAGAAAATTAAAAGCCAAACGAGAAGAGGAATTTTGATATTGCGAGGTTGCATGATGTACGATTGGTGCACCCACTCACATGGTTGAATATATTGTGCAACAAAAGTTATTGTTTTGTGATACCTGAAGAGAGTAGAAACCCAGGTGTGAGGAACGCTTTCTCTTGATAGTCTTAAGAAATTCATCATAACTACCTGAGACCTGAGAACCTTGAATGACCAGTTTTGATAATTAGAGTTGTCGTTTATATTTGGTAAAATTTCTCCAACTAGAGGTGGTGGCAGAGGTCAAGTGGTTAAGGGGCTGGATTTGTAATCCACAGTTCCCGGGTTGAAATCCCTCTCTCTGCCACGAGATAGATTTGTGTTGGGTGGTCCCAAATTTAATTTCTCCACATCTTGTAAATAGTCAACTGGTAAGCGTCCAACCAGCTGGGATTTTTGACAAGTTTTCAACTATAATTGTAGACCCGACTCGCGTACTCGAGAGATCAGCGGAAATCAAGCCTGAAAACAGAAATTAAATGAGAGCGTTTCTTTTATTATTATTTCCTCGAGTGCACCCTAAAGATACTTTGACAGCTAAAAATGGTGACGTTTCGTCATCAACATACTAAGTGAGACCAGAATCCTTGATTTGTACCCAGGAGGACGAGCATCCCCGACCTTTTCATGTAGGAGTCTTCCCGGGTTTCGAACATGAGCTGTCTCAGGTCGTTTTACAGTCGCTTGCAGCGTGTCAAGTTAGTTATTTTCGGGAGGTGGAAGGTATAACGACTTTTTCATTGTAAAGAAAGTACTTTTGGTTCTTCCTCAGCAATTCGATTCAGGGAAAGCCTTCGTGGTTTTTCCTTCACAAACCTACGCGATATTGTGATTTCGAAAGCAATCGATATAAACGAATGATTGAAGTCTACAGACGATTTTTTTAACACAAGAAACTGAAAGACAAACGCCACCTTTCGGTAAATGATTTGTTGACAGAAAGAGAAAAAACAATGAAGAAGAAAGGTAACTTCGCGAATTTACAACACTAAGCTTCTTCAAATTTGAATCAATCTCTCTTACAGCAGAACCTCTCGCTCTAATATACATGAGG